CAAATTCAACTAAGGGAGATACATAGATACTATTTACTCATGTGAATTTTGATAACGGGTTTTTTGCGGGTTAAAATATTTTAGTTCGTTGCAGGCCAGACATAGCGGACGAGTTTAACTCGCTTGACAACTTTATTTAGGTCATTTGTTTCAAGAATTTTTAGTGTTTTTTGTTGTTTTTACCTGGTTTGATAGTTTACGATTTATATAGAAATCTAGAATATCACTAATCAGGTTTACACTTGATCCGTGTCCGCTATCATGTCGATTTAAAGCGATTATTATTTCAAACATTCAAAATTTGAAGAAAGCAAAGCAAACGTATGTGTGGCTCTGAATAGATACCTATTGTTTTTATATGTTAGACTAAAATATATAATCTCAAATGAGTATTCAAACCACTATTGTAAGATGGAAAATCATGATATATATGGATGGGACTCTACGGTTATGAAATAGTCACATTTTTGGTTTTTTTTACTATTTCTCTTTTATGTAATGTTCTTAACTTAACAAAAACAAATCTGATAATTTCTTTATCTAAATCGAATTAAAAACAACATGAAACTGGTACGAATTCTTCTAATTATGAATTAAATACTATTATTTAAAAATATGTTTACAAACTTAACCTTGCATATATGTAATATATTGAAATCAACTACGCACGCACGTATGTAATACGAACTTTTGAAATCAACCCCGCACGTACGTGCGGGTCCATTCCTAGTAAACTATAAAAATAGTTAAAAAAAAAAATATATATAGATTTTGGACTAAAAAACCTACGTTTTGTGGGTTCATTATAATGAATTAAATTAATAACTAGTAAATTTATTTTATATAAAAAAACAATTGGAGGGAGGGGGTTTTGCAATATCACTCAGAAGTACACCAATACTGAACAAATCAAAATACTCATCCACAAATACATAAACCGATCAATACAAAGAATTGTTATTACTATAATCAACTTAACCGAGACTTATAATCAAGAAAAAATTCCAAAGGATATTACTAGGAGATTTTACAATATTTTACAATCGTATAAAATGATCAATAAATATTTCCTAGTATTTATCGAATATAATTGATTATAAGTCTATGGTATTATTCTTTCTTTTTTTCACTCTTACGATAATTACACAATAGTTATATTCATAGTTTGTTTGTAATTTTGTTTTGCTAAGTAATTCTATTCCTATTCCTATTCCTATTCCTAAAAGAATATGCTATTGTGCTCTCATCTCTATGGGTATATATATAAAGCTACAACCCCCTAAGAATTATAATCTTCAACAGTCGTCATCAACTAAACCAAGACTCGAGTTTTTTCAGATCTAATTACTTGTTGGTAAACACTTCTTATCTTTTTATTTTTGATTTCTAAACATCTTTGCTTCATCTCCTTGTTTGATTGATCAAATCCTTATCAAACCTATAGAATCATGTTTCCTTTTCTTTATTTACTTGTTACAAAACCTTCTCTATATAAATTGTAACAATTGTTTTATCACTTGTTTGGTTTTCAGAGTGAAGAGATCAGAAAACAAACATTGAGATGGCGGCTAACGAAGAACAAGGAAGTATTTTGAAAGCTCTTGACGTAGCAAAGACTCAATGGTACCACTTCACAGCGGTTATAGTCTCTGGTATGGGTTTCTTCACAGACTCATACGATCTCTTCGTGATATCTCTTGTCACGAAGCTCCTTGGCCGGATCTACTACCAAGTTCCTGGCTCATCCTCTCCTGGAAGTCTCCCTGATGGCATCTCTGCGGCCGTGAGCGGTGTGGCCTTTGCCGGGACGTTTCTCGGACAGATCTTTTTCGGGTGTCTTGGTGATAAGCTCGGACGTAAGAGAGTCTATGGTTTGACACTCTTGATCATGACCATATGCTCTATATGTTCTGGTCTTTCCTTTGGTCGTGACCCCAAACTTGTCATGGTAACTCTTTGCTTCTTCCGCTTCTGGCTCGGGTTTGGTATCGGTGGTGACTATCCTCTCTCGGCTACGATCATGTCCGAGTATGCTAACAAACGTACTCGTGGTGCGTTCATAGCTGGGGTTTTTAGTATGCAAGGAGTTGGGATCTTAGCCGCGGGAGCTGTCTCGTTACTTGTCTCTTATATTTTCGAGATTAGCTTTCCATCTCGAGCCTATGCATTGGACGGTGCAGCCTCAACAGTACCACAAGCGGATTACGTGTGGAGGATCATTCTCATGGTAGGTGCTGTACCAGCTCTCGCGACTTACTACTGGCGTATGAAGATGCCTGAAACTGCTCGTTACACTGCACTAGTCTCCAAGAACGCTGACCAAGCTGCTTCGGATATGAGTAGGGTTCTTAACGTAGACGTTGAAGCCTCTTCAGCGAAACATGACCAAGCTAGGGTTTCAACTGACGAGTTTGGCTTGTTCACCAAGAAATTCCTTAGCCGTCATGGACTTCACTTATTCGGAACAGCCATCACATGGTTCCTCCTTGACATTGCTTTCTACAGCCAAAACTTGTTCCAGAAAGATATCTTCACCACCATTGGATGGTTACCTCCGGCTAAAACCATGAACGCAATCCAAGAGCTCTACGTAATCGCTAGGGCACAAACCCTAATCGCTCTTTGCAGTACGGTTCCAGGTTACATTGCTACTATAATTTTTATCGACAGATTGGGACGGTACAAGATTCAGATTATTGGATTCACTATGATGACTGTCTTCATGTTGGCTTTAGCCGTACCATACCATCATTGGACTTTACCAGCTAACCGGATTGGTTTTGTGATCTTATACTCTTTAACCTTCTTCTTCTCCAACTTTGGACCTAACGCAACCACGTTCATTGTCCCGGCTGAGATTTTTCCGACGAGGCTTAGGTCGACTTGTCACGGTATCTCGGCGGCGTCTGGTAAAGCTGGTGCAATGGTCGGTTCATTTGGGTTTGCTGCTTTGGTTAAGGCTGTAGGTATGAGTACGACGTTATACATCATGGCAGGTATCAATGGTCTTGGCTTGCTGGTCACGTTATTTATCATTCCGGAGTCTAAGGGGATATCACTTGAGGAGCTTACAGGCGAAACTGAACCGGAGAAAACTCAGGACAAGATTGTTGTTTAGATTTGATTTTGGTGTTTTTTTCGAGTTTTGTTAGGATTTTTGGTGTTTTGTCATATACTTTAGATCTTTTGTTTTAAAGATTAATTATATCGGTGTTGACTGAGTTTTCCTACTTTTTTTTTATATATTATATTATATTTTCATAAATTTAAAATTACATCGTTAGAAGCTTAATTATATCCAAAGTAAAACAAGAAAAATATATATCTGAAAGTATATAATATTATGGAAGGATATTTTTAGGGTTGATTATTAATATATCCAAAGTAAAACAAAGATGATATCGGAGAATTCATTTTCATTAGAACATTGAGTTTATTTTTGTTTATGTATTGATTTTTTTTTTGTCGCCATGTATTGATTTATTATAATATCAAATTCAACTGTTTGAATTATTACTAAGTTCCACCAATTGTTTCTTGATAAATTTTCAAAATACAGTTTTTCTAAAAATATACGAGATTAATTTTCAAAAAATACCACTAATATATATTTTTCCAATAATACCAAAAAACTAAGGCCTCGATTGGTAACCATGATTTAGGAAAAAAATGAGAAGGAATATGACATTCCTCTTCATTCCTCAATTTTTTTACTATTTACAAGGAATCATTTTTCCACATCATTCCTCTACATTCCTCACAAAATGAGGAACAATAGAACAAAAATGTTCCTCCCCAAAATTGATAAGAAACAAATGGAACAAAAAAAAGAACAAATATCAAAATTCGTTTTTTATTTTAAAATAAATAAAAAATTATTTATTAATAATATTTTAATCTCATAATATAATATTTTCATATTTTTATCATGTATTGACATTAAAAAATATTTTTGATATGAATTTCATGTTAAAAGATATTACTATACATTATTTAAAATTTGTATGGATAGTAAAACATATTTAAGAGATGTTTATATCATAAATAACAAATAAAAATTACTATAATCTATAATAGGTTAATATAAATTATTAATTTTTAACATTAAATATTTAAATTCATTCAAAAATATATTTTAAAATTAATGTCAAATTCATTATATATAAATTATATCTAGTATTATTATTAAAAGTTGATTTATTTATCAAATATATTATAAAAGATAGTGTTATTGTTTGGTTACCATTTATTATTTTGTTCTTCTCTGCATATTTTCCTTTCATTCCTCAAAAGTTGTTTATTCCGTTCCGTATTGTTCTTTTTGTTCTTTTTCCTTTTGTTCTTCTAATGGTTACCAGTAGAAGCCTAAGACTATTTTTTAACATTTAAAACTAATTTCTAAATTGTAGACACTAAAATCTACCCCTAAAAACTGTACCCTAAATTTAAATAGTCAACCCAAACATTAAAAAAAAATCTACACCTTCAAAAATCAAATTTTTATGTTTATGGTACTTTTCTAAAAATAAAAATTGTGTGATATTTTTGGAAAAAAACAGCTTATTCTTTTGAGTCTTCTTAATAAAAAGTTTTTGACAAAAATTATAAATTATGATATTTTTGGAAAAAAAAACTTAAAATATGGTATTGGAGAGAAATTATATTTTTCTATTATGCCATTATGAATAAATAAAAACATAAATAGATTAATCACTTTTTAAAAATATCCCATTTTCACACTTTATCAAAAAACACCTAAAAATGTTAAAATTTATCCAAATATGTGTGAAAGCTTATAAATATACACACAAAATTACATTTGTATGTGTATAAAATTTGATATATCATAAATAGCGTAAAATAACTTATAAAAACCTTTTAAAAACCTAATAACCCCTTTTAAGAACCTTATAAAACTTGTAAAAACGATTTAAACCCTGTTAAAACCCTATTTGTATCGAATCTCCCACTAGTAGTTATTATATATAAATACCTTATAAACCATATAAAACTTTATAATTTTTCATATTTAAACATGAATATTTTTGAAAATAGATCAATAAATAGACTATTTTTGAAAATGGTACACCAAAAGGGGTATTTCTAAAGCATTCTCTTAATTTACTTCATTAAATAATGTTTGGTTAATGTCGCACATATTATTAGCTAGTTAAGAAACTCATTTTTAACAGACAGTTATATGATTGATATATAGAAAGAAGTATGATAAATAAATATATAAAAATAAGCGATAAATATGTGATAAAAGATTATATGAAAAAGGTTAAAATAGAATTCTTATGATAAGGATACAAGATTCTCCAAAAAAATTTTGAGATTATTAGTTATATAAGATTATATATTACATTAAATAGGGAAACTACATTTCCTATGCTCAGATAAAAGAAAAATTAAGTTTTCCTCCTCCATAAAGTTTTATTTAGCTTCTAAATTTGCTGACCATTATCTCCCTATAGCTATATATACTAGAGTAGCCAATTGATTTAAATCTCATTTTGTGTTTTATTTTCCTCTACAGCAACATTAAAGTGGAGAGCCTTGGTTGATTTTTTTAGGCAAGATTTTCTATCATAAACTTTTCGATTTGGGTCAATCAAATTTGCAAAGTTTTTGATATGGACAAGATCCTTTACTGGCAAGTTCCACCTAATGATCCTCCACTTAGCTCCATCGTTCACCACCAAATTTATCACCGGAACCGCTGTTGATCGTGATTCGAAGCACAATCTCTGGTTCACTAACGAATTTCCTATATGCCGGAACCACCGTGAATCGAAGCACAAGCTCTGGTTTTCGTTCCTCCTCCTCCGCCGCAGCTTTAACACCAGCACCACTCTCACGCATAATGGAATCCCCACCTGAACCAAATATTAATTTTTATAGCATTAAGTATTAATTTAACGGTTAATATGTAATTTATCGCGATAACAAATTATTTAACATGTTTAAAAATAAGTTATTGAATGCTATTAATCATTGATGAATAGTGTTATCGATAATATGTCAATATTTATAGCAATAAATATTAAATTAACGGATACTATGTAAATGACCGCGATAACAGATTATTAGCATGTTTAAAAATAAGTTATCGAATGCTATTAATCACATATGAACACTGTTATCAAATTCGTGGAAATATATTTTGGTTTAGGTTTATAAAAGAGTGGTTAGGGTTTTGATTTATAAATAAATAAAATTGTATTTCTGTTTGGGTTTATAAAATAGTGGTTAGGGTTTAAATTTTGTAACTAAACCAAATTATATTTCGGTTTGGGTTGACAAAATAGTGGTTAGAGATTAGATTTTGTAACTAAACGAAATTATATTTCGGTTTGGATTGACAAAATAGTGGTTAGGGTTTAGATTTTGTAATTAGAAAAAATTATATTTTGGTTTGAGATCATTAGTACATAGATAATAGGAAATATAGATGATAACTTTAAATTTATTGGGATGTTTTATTTAGTTGGCGGTTAGATTATAACTTATGCGGCTAACTTTGCAATTATATAATAATGTCTTCTTTATCCGAGTCATCAAAATCTGTATATATTGCAATGTGTCAGTGGAATTGCAGAGAATTTAAAATACACACGTTGTGTTGACAATTTTTTTTTATATATATAAATTAATAGAAGGACAACATTGTAACTTTGTGTAGATATATGAAAGAGAACTAATTTTTCTATTATTGAGTCTATGCTTTTAGTTTCTTACTAGGTAATGTCCCGCGCATATGCGCGGGTTGTTATATATTTATTTAATTATTTTAATTTATTTATTACTTATAAAAATAGATTAAATAAATTTTAATGCTTATGAAATTTTTACATGTTATTTATTTAAATCATACAATAGAAGCATACATCCATATCTTTTGAATTTATTCGTTGATTAATTGTTCAATTAATCAATTTTGATAGTAATTTTCTTTAGTACTTTTAAGTATTTTTTGATAAAACAATAATATTGTTAATGATAAAAATAGGAATGATATTGGGAGAATTTAAAAAATACCCCTTTAAAATGGGGGAATTTCAAAAATACCCCTTTTACAATACCACTTTTTTAAAATACCACTTTTTCTAATTTTATCAAAAAGTCACTGTAAAATATGAAATTTACCAAAAAAATATGTATAAACCTATATTTATAGACACAAATTATCTTTACATGTGTGCAAATTTATGTATATATTTCATAAGTACCATATAAATACCTTTTAAAAATCATATAAAAAGCTTATAAAAACTTTGTAAACCTTTTAAAATCCTTATAAAAACCATATAAATGCCGTTTAGAACCTTTTAAAACTTTCAAAATATTTGAATTTAGTCTCCCAGTAGTAATGATGATCTTGATGTACCTTATCAACCATATAAAAGTTTATAATTTTTCATATTTGAAAAGGGGTATTTTTGAAAATAGATAGAAAAGAGGAGTATTTTTAAAAAGGGTTATTCTCAAAAATTCTCTTTAAAAATACCACTTTTTAAATTTACCCCCTTTTCAAACTTTATCAAAACAACCACTAAAAATGTTGAAATTTATCCAAATATGTGTGTAAACTTATAAATATACACAAAAATTACCTTTATTTGTGTATAAAATTTTATTTATTTCAGTGTCTTACAAATTGGTTTGAATATAACAAAAATAATATTTTGTTAAAATAATTACATTCTTTGAAAATAAAATAAATATACATGAATATGTGAGAAAGAAAAAAC